TATATAGTGGGAGTGTTGGATCTGTGAGGGGAGCGAGAGTTGGGTCTGTTGAGGGAGGGAGAGTTGGGGTCTAATGAGGCGAGGAGAGGTTGGGGTCTGTGAGGGGGGAGAGTTGGATCTGTGAGGGGAGAGAGAGTTGGGTCTGTGATGGAGGCGAGAGTGTTAGGGTTGTGCAGGGGAGGAAGAGTTTGGCGTCTGTGGGGATGAAGAGTTTGGGTCTGCTGAGGGAGGAAGTTGGGTCTGTGAGGGGACGGAGAGTGTTTGGGTCTGTGAGGAGAGGAAGAGTTTGGGGTCTGCTGAGGGAGGGAGGACTGAGTCTGTGAGGGAGGGGAGTTGGGTCTGTGCAGGGAGGTGAGACTGGTCGTGAGGGAGGAGAGTTGGGGCTGTGACGGTTAGAGAGTTGGTTTGAGGGAGCCGAGAAGTATGGGTCTGTGCAGGACGGTCGGAGAAGTTGGCATGTCTGTGAGGGGAGGAGAGGTGCGTCTGTGCAGGGGGGAGAGTTGGGTCTGTCGAGGGAGGCAGAGTTGGGTCTGTGAGTGAGTAGGGAGAGTTTGGGTCTGTGAGGGAGAGTTTGGGTCTGTGAGGTTAGGCAATGAGTTTGGTCTGTGAGGTAGGCAAGAGTTGGATCTGTGGAGGGAGAGGGAGAGTTGCGCCGTCTGTGAGGAGGGGCGAGAGTTGGTCTGATGAGGAGGGAAGTGTGGGTGTCTGTTGAGGGAGGGAGAGTTGGATCTGTGAGGGGAGGGAGAGTTGACGGTCTGTGGGGATGGGAGAGTTGGGTCTGTTTGAGGGAGGAGGTTGGGTCTGTGAGGGATGAAAGTTTGGTCTGTGAGGGCAGGTGAGAGTTGGCGTCTGAATATGTGAGGGAGGGAGACTGGTCTGTGAGGGGGGAGAGTTGGGTCTGGAGGTAGGGAGAGGTTGGGTCTCTGATGAGCCGGAGTAGAGTCTGGCGGTCTGTGAGGGAGGCAGAGTTGGGTTCTGTGGAGGAGGAATGGTCTGTGAGGGAGGCGAGAGTTGGCGTCTGTGAGGGATGCGAGCAGTTGCGGTCTGTGAGGAGAGGAGAGGCGGGTCTGTGAGGGAGGGAGAGTTGGGGTCTGTGATGGGATGGAGAGTTGGCGTCTTGTGACTGAGGGAAGAGTTGGCCGTCTGGCTGAGGAGGAGGAGAGTTGGTCTGTGAGAGAGGCGGAGAAGTTGGGTCTGTGAGGGAGGGAGAGTTGGGGTCTGTTGAGGGGAGGAAGAGTTGAGGTCTAGTGAGGAGGGATGAGTTGAGGATCTGTGAAGGAGGGAGAGTTGGGTCTGTGAAGGCGAGGGAGAGTTGGGTCTCATGACGGAGGAAGAGTTGGCGTCTGTCGAGGGAGGCAGAGTTGGGTCTGTTGAGGGAGGGAGAGGTTGGCGTCTGTGGGGAGGGAGAGTTCGGTCTGTGAGGGGGGAGGTGGGGGGTCTGTGAGGGAGGGAGAGTTGGATCTGTGAGGGAGCGGGAGAGTTGGGGCCGGTTAGTGATGGATAGGAGACTGCGTCGTTGTGAGCGAGCGAGATTGGCGTCTGCTTCTTGAGGGAGGAGAGTTGCGCTGTCTTGAGGAGGGAGAGTTGGGTTGTGTCAGTGGCAGGCGGACTGCCGTCTGTGAGGGAGGTGAGAGTTGGTCTGTGAGGAGGGAGAGTTGGCGGCTGGTCTGTGAGGAGGATCAGTGGATCTGTGAGGGATGGAGAGTTGGAGTCTGTGAGGGAGGGGGACTGGTTGTGAGCGGAGGGAAGAGTTGGTGTTCTCGTGAGGGGAGGGAGAGTTGGGCGTCTGTGGGGCGGGCCAGAGTTGGGTCTGCTGAGGTAGGAAGAGTTGGGTCGGGTGAGGGAGGGAGAGTTGGGGTGTGAGGAGGGGAGTTGTGGTCGTTAGCCACCCCAGCCACTAAATGCTCACTTGATTTTGCACAACGCATGCTCTCACGATCTCAATTCTTATTGCCATTCAACGTTTTGTGGCGGTGTACACCGATGATCGTCACGTCTGTTGTCATCATCAAGCGGGCGATGACGAACAATAGACTATGGGGGACCCTGCTGTGGGCGTTTGCAGTCTGCACGAAAAATTCACCCTCATTTGCCAGCGCGGCCTGTAGAAATGCTTCTAATTCACTGGCCCACACTTAGGTTTTACAGGCCCGAATCAAGGATATCATATTATGAAGAGAACGAAACCGCCGACTGGAAACGGAAGTTTTGCGATTCTAGCGCCGACAAACACGCATGGTGTTGACTAAGTTACTTCCCTACTTAAGATCGGGAATATGATGCCCTTCGGTAAATAGGGCGCGTAAATTTTCATACAAAATTCGGGCCATTTCAGGTACAATTCTCAGACTGTCATCAGCATAAAAGAAGCCTTGAAATATCTTAATAGATTATATACCATTTACTCCTTTTTTTTTACTGGCCCATCGGGCTTGTTCATTTACCAGTTGTCGTTGGCCCACGAAAAAATTTACTGGCCTCGATACCGGGGCAGCTGTGTTAATGGGTCGCAGACTGGCGTTGACGTGTGTGCTTGACTCGCAGGGTTACGTGCCCGAACAACGCTTTTTTGGGGGACCCTGGTGGGCGTTGACGTGTGTGTTTTGCTCGCAGGGTTAACGTGACGGGACGCCGGCGTATGGTTCGGCGCGCTGGTTGGCGCTGGCGGGCGGCGACATGCCGGCGGGTCCGGCTGAACGTGCTGCCCAGAGCGCGTTCGGATGTGCGTACGACAGTCGGTCGACGAGGACAACGTGTACACGTGCGTCGCACCGCTGGCAGCGCCCGACGTGAATGAGCATCGTCATGCTGGATGCTCAACCATGGCTTCACGACGCTTTACGGCAGTATCCTGGTGATTTATCCTTAGGCCACAATTTAAAAAAAAATGTTTGCCCTCACCCGACAGGCCTGAAAAAGATTTGGGTTATGGTAGGTAGCTTGTTTTGGTTTTTTTTTTTTACAAATTCAGCATGGTGTTACTATGCTCGAGGTGTGCTTGTGCTGGAGATAGCTTTTCTGTGGAGTGTTTGTTTTGCTTGGTACATATAATGTATTGCCTAGCAGATTTATATAATGTACAGCTGATACATTTGCTAAAAAAAAAAAATGTGAAATAATCAATAAAATTGTTATTGAGTCGCCTTTTTTGGCGGGCGTGGTTGAGGGCAACAAACAACATTTTTATTATGCCCGTATACTTACAGACGGTACGAAATTAACGGGAGGCGGAGTCAAATACGCCCTGATTTACTGTCGCGACTCCTGGTTTGGACAATATGCAGGAGTCCGTGTGACTTCCCTGAAAGTTCTGCAGTGCTCGACACAGCGGTCGCCGTCCAGGATCGCAATGGCGACCAAAACCTTGCTAGGCGACTAAAAAGATACCAAAACTAAATATTACAGGCCAAATAAATCTTGGCGAGTACAATTTCTGTTCGGCGCTTACACATGAGCAACAGTGCTCAGACTTCGATTATCGCAACACTCTGGCGCGACATCGCTGGCTTCCTATGTAATATGTTCGGTTAGAATATTAGACACGGCCGTTTAGTTCGACTGCTTGCATATTGTCAGACGTACGCCTGCACGTTTGTCGTGTATTGTGTGCGCGTTGCCTACGCAGGGCCAGGCATCCCTATAGTCGCGGTCGATCGAAAACCGCCGCGCCGCGAGTCAAAAAGCGCCGCGGCACGTGTGACCTTTGGGGCTCATTTTATTGAAGTAGCCGCGCGGCCGGCTTCTGCGACTGTTTCCACCGTGGTATGCTAGCGTTTGCACACTCAGCTCAGCCTGCGTACAGTTGCCGCAGGGTACATAGCCTGCGGCAAGTGTCTGCGGGCTATAGTATAGAGCTTCGGGGCACCAAGCGTATTTTTCGCACCGATCGCGACGATTAAAATCGTCAGCGAAATTTATACGCTGCGAGATCACGAAGGGGCACACGTAGCGAATTGATAGCGTACGCGCTACTGCCACTCGCGATCAACAATGATATCACCAACAACGTACGATTGGTTTATTCGCCTCGACAAAAGGTAGCGCCCGGACACAGGCAGACGAGCGAATTCTCAGCGTCGCATCAATCCGCCGGCTTAAATAATCGGCCGAAAATAATCTAACATTTTTATACGGGCGATGTTCGTACCGGCTACGAGAAATCGTCATGTCGACCGTGAACGGGCACATGCCGGGGCGAGTTTTCGAGCGATTTTAAAATGGCGCGCATCGGCCGAAAAATACGTCTCGTGCTGCCCTCATTACTACGTAGGAAACGTAGGTCAGAACTGTTTCATTCTCGCCACGACGTTCTGGTTTTTTCGACGCTAGCAATAAAGACTGGTGCGTCTGGTGCGCTCTGTTTATAATCATATGTCGATTATGTAGCTATTAACAGCCCCCCTGAACCGCCTGACAGGCATCGCCCTTTGGACCTGCACCGGCTGCGGCCCTGGACCCTGGGGCTGAAACACAAATTTGTCATTCTCTCCCTGGCTATCTGATTGGATAAAATCGAGCTAGCTCCGACAGCTAACAATCGAAATACTGGTAGTACCCAAGAATGCTACAATATAACAGTTATATGTAGTTATGCTGTATACAGTTATATGTAGCTCCTTTCGTAGTCGCGACATGACGGATTACGTCACGGGGCGTTACCGTTAGCAACGAGGCTGAAGCCGAAAGAAAGAAAAATCATGGCGGTACGCGTGGAGTTTTTTGAAGAGCGTCGTCATCAGCGAGAAAACTTATGCGTTCCAAATTTTCCTTTTTCAGTAAAGAAGACCCTGCCATATCACAGATAGGGGGCCTTACAATCATAACAAGTAGCTGGCGCACACCTATACAAATACTGCATTACACATGTATCATATTAATATGTGTCGTTATGGTTATGATTATATTTTAACCGAAAAATGCAATGAAAATTGGGCTACACTTTTCATTTTGGGCCCAGTAGAAAATTAAATTCTCTTGGTGGCCCAAAAAAAAAAATTTTGGGCAGCTTCGGCTGACCGAGTGTCAAGCACGTGCTTCTGCCATACTAACTAGTTTATTCGGGAGCCGTCCTCGCTGAATTACTGATTTTTCAGCTGAGCAGACGTGCACTGCATGAATCTTAAAAATAGCACATGCCGCTTATGATTAATATCCTTTATTTTGAACTCAAGCTGCGCCGACTCCCTATTTTGCTGTGGACTCCCTCTTTTGAGGTAGCGACTCCCTTTTCAAAAGGTAATTTCTATCCCTGTACTTATTCTACTGCCATGCGCTGCAGTTTACAGTTTCACAGCATGCTTACAACAATTCCTTGATTGTTGTACATCAGCGTATACGATGTCACTAGCCATGCTGCCCAGTTACAGTTTACTAGTGCTTACAGCCAATCCTTGGATTATCAGCTTATCGTATCACTGCCCATGCTGCCAGTTACAGCTGTCACAGATGCTGTACAGCAATATCTTGTGATTATCACTATACTGGTTATCACTGCCATGCCTGCAGTTACAGTGTTCACAGATGTTACAAGCAATATCCTTGTCATGTTGTCTCAGCTATACTTATCACTGCCATGCTGCAGTTACAGCTTACAGACGCTTACAGCAATTTCCTGTGATTATCAGCATACTTTATCCTGCCATGCTTGCCAGTTACGCAGTCACTAAGATGACCTTAAGCATATCCTTGTGATTATCAGGCTTATACTTTATCACTGCCATGCTGCTTACAGCGTCACGAGATGCTTACAGCATATCCTTGTGATTATCAGCTATTACCTATCACTGCCATGCTGCAGTTACAGTTTTTCACAGATACTCACAGCAAGTCCCTTAGTTTGTTGCTTATCACTGATACTTATCCACTGCCATGCTGCCAGTTACGTTTCACAGAATGCTTACAGCAATATCCTTGTGATTATCAGCACCCTATACTTATCCACTGCATGTGCAGTTACAGTTTCACAGATGCTCAGCAATATCCGTGTGTGAGATCACTATACTTTATCATGCCATGCTGCAGTTTACAGTTCCCTTTCACAGACGCTTACAACAATGTCCTTGTTGTTGTCATCAGCTATACCTATCACTGCCATGCTGCAGTTACAGCTTCACAGATGCTTACAGCAATATCCTTGTGATTATCACCTATACTTATCACTGCCATGCTGCAGTTACAGCTTCACAGACGCTTACAGCAATATCCTTGTGATTATCACCTATACTTATCACTGCCATGCTGCAGTTACAGCTTCACAGTCACTTACAGCAATATCCTTGTTGTTGTCATCACTTACATAGCATACTGGGTTTAATGTAGGCCAGATTTCCTATTTACAATCTTAATTGAGGTTAAAATTCACAATGTACTGATGTAAAAAGAAGATATTTACCTTGTTTTTACAAATAGGTTCTATACTTTTCACAGTAGCCACAATTTTTTATCGAAGCTATTTTATTCTATAATTTCACTAAAAATGCTGGGCTGCAGGCTACGCACTTTTTTTTTAAACAAAAATATCCGGAACAAGACTAAATAATAACATAGCATATAACTCGGTCGTATCCTTACCTCTATCATGCTGAAATGAGCTTCATTGATGCCTGCAACAGTGTCATTATTATCTCCTCTACCACTATGCCCCAATTTTTTTTATGTAATGCTTAACCGTTACTCAAAATCCATTATCGAAATTGGCCATGAAGTGACAAAAAGAAGAAGAAATTGAAGACTTTGAATTAGAAATCAAGAAGCACACATGTCGTACAGAACGCTCAGTGAGCTAACCTAATCTTAGCTAAAGTGAGCTAACCTAATCTTAGCTAACTTTTAACCTTTTCTTAACCTGTCGCAAAGAAATACTGGAGTTGAAAACGGCTAAGGGTCTCGCATTACAGGACATGCTTACAGAAGTGCACAAGTATGTACATAGAAGTAAGTAAAATCCTGCCATATTTACGTAGAAATAAATGAAATCCATGCCATATGATCATAGAAATAAGTGAAATCCATGATATATGTATGTAGAACTAGGTAAGTTTGTGCCGCATGTACGTAGATTAAGTAAAATCATGTCATATGTACTCAGAAGTAAGTATATATGACCAATGTCTCATTTACATGGAAGTAAAGTCGCGCCAAATTTCTGTCAAAGTACGTAAAACCCGTGACATGAATGCTCTAGCGTCCATCTAATTGCTTCAATTTTGTGAACCCACGAATGGTTATTGCAATGTAGCTGTTACCTGTTTGCAGTTGATTTCCCGTTGCATGTGAGGCTCCACCTACTTGAGAAGATGGCAGATGTAGAGTAAGTGTTTGTTAATGCAAGCAGTGATTCTTATATATACCTTGTTAGTACACGAATCTGTTGGTCAAAAGGCTTGTGTCGGCACAGCGGGGTGTTGCTGCACTCTACTAGAGTTAGCTTCTAGGACTTTGCTGGAAAGGTCAGCTGTGCCAGCAAATAGCAGTGCCATTTAAATGTGTAGCCTAGGCAACATGGTTACCTTTTGATGAGGTGTTATTGCACACAAATAGTCATGATATCATGTGAGACTTGATTGTTTATTACGTTTGGTACCAACGCTGTTGTCTGTCGTTCATAGGTACAGACTGGCAGCAGGAACGAGTGAGAAGATGCAGCTCGCAGCACTGTTAGGAGCATTAAGAGTTGGGTGCAGTGCACCCCAGCCACTGATGCTACACTTGTTTTGCACACGCATGCTCTCACCGATCTCATTGGCATTCAAACGTTTCGTGCGCGGTGTGACACCGCATGATCGTCACGTGTGTATCATCAAGGTGACGAACAATGGCATGGGGACCCTGGTGGGCGTTGCAGTCTGCACGAAAAACTTCCACCCTCATTGGCCCAGCGGGCCTGTAGAAATGTATAATTCACTGGCCCACACTAGGTTTTACAGGCCCGAATCAATGATCATCATATTATGAAAAGAGAAACCGAACCGGACTGGAAACCGGAAGTTTTTGCGAATTCTAGCGGCGGCAAACACGCATGGTGTTGACTAGTTACTTACTTAAGACCCCTACTTAAGATCGGGAATATGATGCCCTATCGGTAAATATCGGTAAATTTTCATACAAAATATCGGGCATTTCGGTAAATTCTCAGACTGATCATCACATAAAGAAGCTGAAATATCATTAATAATTATATACCATTTACTCCATTTTTTTTCACTGGTCCATCGGGCTTGTTCATTTACCAGTTTCGTTGGCCCCACGAAAAATTTACTGGCCTCGGATACCGGGCCAGTGGTTAATTTCGCAGACTGGCGTTGACGTGTGTGTTTGCTCGCAGGGTTAACGTGACGGACGACGGCATGGGGGCGCTGGTGGCGCTGGCGGGCGGCGACATGCGGCGGGCGCTGAACGTGCTGCAGAGCGCGTCGATGGCGTACGACGTCGTCGACGAGGACAACGTGTACACGTGCGTCGGTCACCCGCTGCAGCGCGACGTGAAGAGCATCGTCATGTGGATGCTCAACGACGGCTTCACCGACGCTTACGGCAGTATCCTTGTGATTATCACCTAGGCCACAATTTAAAAAAAAATTGTTTGCCCTCACCCGACCCAGGCTGAAAAGTTTGGGTAGGTAGGTAGGCTTTTTTTTAGGGGGGTCTTTTTTACAAATTCAGCATGGTGTCTACATGCTCGGGTGTGCTTGTGTGGAGATAGCTTTTATGTTGAGTGTTTGTTTTGCTTGGTACATATAATGTATTGCTGCAGATTTATATAATGTACAGTGATACAATTTGTAAAAAAAAAAAGAATGTGAAAAATCAATAAAAATGTTTGAGTCGGCCCTTTTTGGCGGGTCGGTCGGGTGAGGGCAAACAAACAACATTTTTATTATGGCCCTATACTTACAGGGTGCGAAATTAACGGGAGTCCGGAGTCAAATACTCTCTGATTTACTGTCGGACTCCCTGGTTTGACATATGCAGAGTCCGTGTGACTCCCTGAAAGTTCTGCAGTGCTCGACACAGCGGTCGCGCCGGTCGCAATGGCGACAAAACCTCTCTAGGCGACTAAAAAATACCAAAACTAAATATACAGGCCAAAATAAAATCTTGGCGAGTACAATTTCTGTTCGGCGTTAACACAGACGCAAAACAAGTGCTCAGATTTCGATTTATCGCAACACTCGGCGCACACGGCTTCCTATGTAATATAGTTCGGTTGTACATATAGACACGCGCGTTTTAGTTCACTGTTTGAGATTGTCAGACGTACGCCGCACGTGTGTGTGTTATGTGTGCGCGTGCTACGCAGGCCGGATCCCTATAGTACGCGATCGATCGAAAACGCGCGCGCCGCGTCAAAAGCGCCGGCGCACGCGTGACCTTGGGGCTCGTTTATTAAGTAGCGCGCGGGCCAGCTCTGCGACTGTTTCACGTGGTATGCTAGTGCACACTAACTCTAGCCTGCTACAGTTGCCGCAGGCGTACATAGCCTGCGGCAAGTGTACGGGCTATAGTACTAGAGCTAGGGGCACCAAGCGTATTTTTTCGCCCGATCGCGACGATTAAAATCGTCAGCGAATTTATACGCTGATCACGAAGGCACACGTAGCGAATTGATAGGCGTACGCGTACGCCACTCGACGGATCAACATGATATCAACAACACGTCCGATTGGTTTATTCGCTCGACAAATATACGCCTGGACACAGGCAGACGAGCGAATTTCAGCGGGATCAATCCGCCGGCTTAAATAATCGGCCGAAAATATCTAACATTTTTTATACGGGCGATTCGTACGGGCGTACGAAATCGTCGTCGACGTGAACGGGCACATGCACGGGCGAGTTTTTCGAGCGATTTTAAAATTCGCCGCGATCGGGCGAAAAAATACGCTCGTGTGCCCCTCATACTACGTAGGAAACGTAGGTCAGAACTGTTTCACTTCTCGCCAACGACGTTCTGTTTTTTCGACGTAGCAAATAAAGCGTGCGTTGGCGCTCTGTTTATAATACATATGTCATTATGTACGTATTAAAGCAGCCCCTGACCCCCTGACCAGGCATCGCCCTGGACCTGACCGGCCTGCGGCCCCTGGACCGGCTGAAAACACAAATTGTCATTCTCATCCCTGGCTATCTGATTGGATAAAATCGAGCTAGCTCCGACAGCTCAACCAATCGAAATGCTGGTAGTACCCAAGAAGCTACATATAACAGTTATATGTAGTTATGTGTATACAGTTATATGTAGCTCCTTGGTAGTACCGACATGCGGATTAGTCACGGTTACCGTTAGCAACGAGGCTGAAGCCGAAAGAAAGAAAAATCATGGCGGACGCGTGGAGTTTTTTGAAAAGAGCGTCGTCATCAGCCGAGAAAAACTTATGGTTCAAATTTTCTTTTTCAGTAAAGAAGACCCTGGCCATATATAAGATTAGGGCCTACCAATACATACAAGTTTGCTTGGCGCCACACTATACAAATACTGCATACACATGTATCATATTAATATGTGTCGTTATGGTTATGATTATATTTTAACCGAAAAATGCAATGAAAATTGGGCTACCACTTTCATTTTGCCAGTAGAAAAAATTTCTGGTGGCCCAAAAAAAAATTTTGGGCCAGCTTCGGCTGACCGAGTGTCAGCACTGTTCTGCCATACTAACTAGTTTATTCCGGAGCACGTCCTCGCTGAATACTGTATTTTTCAGCTGGCAGACGTGCACTGCATGAATCTTAAAAATAAGCACATGCGTTATTGTTAATATCTTTATTTTGAACTCAGACTGCCGGACTCCCTCATTTTGCTGTGGACTCCCTCTTTTTGAGGTAGGGACTCCCTTGTTCAAAAGTTAATTTCTATCCCTATACTTATCACTGCCATGCTGCAGTTACAGTTTCACAGATGCTTACAACAATGTCCTTGTTGTTGTCATCAGCTATACCTATCACTGCCATGCTGCAGTTACAGCTTCACAGTGCTTACAGCAATATCCTTGTGATTATCAGGCTATCACTACACTGCCATGCTGCAGTTACAGCTGCACAGATGCTGACAGCATATCTTGTGATTATCACCTATACTTATCACTGCCATGCTGCAGTTACAGTTTCACAGATGTTACAAGCAAATCCTTGTCGTTGTCATCAGCTATACTTATCATGCCATGCTGCAGTTACAGCTTCACAGACGCTTACAGCAATATCCTTGTGATTATCAGCATACTTATCACTGCCATGCTGCAGTTACAGCAGTCACAGATGCTTACAGCAATATCCTTGTGATTATCAGGCTATACTTGATCACTGCCATGCTGGCAGTTACAGCGTCACGAGATGCTTACAGCATATCCTTTGTGATTATCAGCTATACCTATCACTGCCATGCTGCAGTTACAGTTTCACAGATACTCACAGCAATATCCCTTTGTTGTTGCTTATCACTATACTTATCACTGCCATGCTGCAGTTACAGTTTCACAGATGCTTACAGCAATATCCTTGTGATTATCAAGCTATACTTATCACTGCATGTGCAGTTACAGTTTCACAGATGCTTACAGCAATATCCTTGTGATTATCAGCTATACCTATCACTGCCATGCTGCAGTTACAGTTTCACAGATGCCTACAACAATGTCCTTGTTGTTGTTCAGCAGGCTATACTTATCACTGCCATGCTGCAGTTACAGTTTCACAGATGCTAACAGCAATATCCTTGTGATTATCAGCTATACCTATCACTGCCATGCTGCAGTTACAACTTCACCGACGCTTACAGCATATCCTTGTGATTATCACCTATACTTATCACTGCAATGCTGCAGTTACAGTTCACAGTTTCACAGACGCTTACAACGATGTCCTTGTCGTCGTCATCACTTAGATAGCATACTGGGTTTAATGTAGGCCAGATTTTTCTCTTACTCTTAATTGAGGTTAAATCACAATGTACGATGTAAAAAGAAGATATTTACCTTGTTTTTACAATAGGTTCTATACTTTTCACAGTAGCCACAATTTTTTATCGAAGCTATTTTATTCTATAATTTCACTAAAAATGCTGCTGCAGCTACGCACCTTTTTTAAACAAAAATATCCGAACGAGACTAAATAATAACATAGCATAAACTCGCGTCGTATCCTTACCCTGTCATGCTGAAATGAGCTTCATCACTTGATGCGATTCACCAGTGTCATTATTATCTCATCTTACATAATGCCCATATTTTTATGTAATGGCCTAACTGTTACTTAAATCCATTATCGAAATTGGCCATGAAGTGACAAAAAGAAGAAGAAATTGAAGACTGAATTAGAAATCAAGAGCACACATGTCGTACAGAACGCTCAGTGAGCTAACCTAATCTTAGTAACTTTGAACCTTTTTTACCTGTGCGCAAAGAAATACTGGAGTTGAAACGCTAAGGGTCTCGCATTACAGGACATGCTTACAGAAGTGCACAAGTATGTACATAGAAGTAAGTTAAAATCCTGCCATATTTACGTAGAAAAATAATGAAATCCTGCCATATGATCTAGAAATAAAGTGAAATCCATGCTATATGTACGTAGAGCTAGCGGTAGGTTTGTGCCGCATGTACGTAGATAAGTAAAATCATGTCTACAGAAGATAATATATATGACAATGTCTCATTTACATGGAAGTAAAGTCGCGCCACGTTTACATCGAAGTACGTAAAACTCGTGACATGAATGCTCTAGCTGTCCATCTAATTGCTTCAATTTGTGAACCGCACGATGGTTATTGCAATTGTAGCTGTTACCTGTTGCAGTTGATTTCCCGTGCATGTGAGGCTCCCTACTTGAGAAGATGGCAGGATGTAGAGTAAGTGTTTGTTAATGCAACGCAGTGATTCTTATATATACCTTGTTAGTACACAAATCTGTGGTCAAAAGGCTTATGTCCGGCACTGCGGGTGTTGCTGCACTCAGTTAGCTTCTAGGACTTTGCTGGAAAGGTCAGCTGTGCCAGCAATAGCAGTGCATTTAAATGTGATAGCCTAGGCAACATGGTTACCTTGATGAGGTGTTATTGCACACAAAATAGTAAGATATCATGTGAGACTTGATTGTTTATTACGTTTGGTACCACGCTGTTTCTGCCGTTCATAGGTACAGACTGCAGCAGGAACGAGTGAAGATGCAGCTCGCAGCACTGTTAGGAGCATTCCAGGTGGCACGGGACATGACAGTGAAGGAAGCAGTAGCACTAGTATGAAGCAGCCTGGGACATGATGACAGTGAAGGAAGCAGTGGCACTAGCATGAAGCAGCCTGGGACATGAGTGAAGGAAGCAGTAGCACTAGCATGAAGCAGCCTGGGACATGATGACAGTGAAGGAAGCAGTGGCACTAGCATGAGCAGCATGGGACATGATAGTGAAGGAAGCAGTAGCACTAGCATGAAGCAGCCTGGGACATGATAGTGAAGGAAGCAGTAGCACTAGCATGAAGCAGCCTGGGACATGATAGTGAAGGAAGCAGATGTCACTAGAATGAAGCAGCCTGGACATGAGTGAGGAACAGTGACACTAAATGAAGCAGCCTGGCGACATGACAGTGAAGGAAGCAGTGGCACTAGTATGAAGCAGCCTGGGACATGATGACAGTGAAGGAAGCAGTGGCACTAGCATGAAGCAGCCTGGGACATGATAGTGAAGGAAGCAGTAGCACTAGCATGAAGCAGCCTGGGACATGATGACAGTGAAGGAAGCAGCCTGGGACATGATGACAGTGAAGGAAGCAGCCTGGGACATGATAGTGAAGGAAGCAGTGGCACTAGCATGAAGCAGCATGACACATGATAGTGAAGGAAGCAGTGGCACTAGCATGATGTCCGTGACATCTAATGAAGTGGTTGGAGAGAAAAAAGAGAGCAGGCCAGTTTTTGCTCTAGAGACGTGCGCCATCGTCATACGGCTGTAATATAATCCGTAGGGACTTTGACGCATTTCTTTGAAGAGATAAACACGTTCCTGAATATATGTAATTAAATTAAATTGTAATAAACATGAAATGAGGGTTTTGTAGTGAAGCCTTCTTGTACAAATTCATTATTGCTACATTATTTCTTCATTATTTTTGCTTTAAAATGCAATGCTTGTACACGTTCTC